TGTACATGTATGTTAGGGTGTCTTTGCATGCTTGAATCCTCAAATAAATTAGTTCATTGGAAAACTTTGGCTCTATATCAGTCTCTTCTCTAGCCACTTCCATAAATAAAGGATAATACATTACATACATTACATTTTTTACATACATTTTTTTTTATTTATAGCTCGCCTCTCCCTGTGGATCGAGGCGGGTTACAACAAATAACAATAAAATCCAATGTACAATTAAAAACCACATTTCTAAATAATCCTCTACCCCAACCCCCCTCCCAATCATAAAAAAGAAGCAAACTCAAAACAACATTAATATAAAATGAATAGCAATATAAAATACTAATTAGAAGTGGAAGAAATAACGAATTAGCTAAAATTAGAGGTAGTTGGAGGCGAGACATCTATCTTTCTTGGGGTAGATGGCGGGATATCAATATCAGTGGAGCGGAGGCTAACCTGGAAAGGCCTGCCAGAAGAGATCTGTCTTAACAGCCTTTTTAAAGGCTTTTTACAGTGGTAATGTTACGGATAAAAAGATTGCATAGAAGACTTGGACTTTAGTAATTCCCCAAGTTCAAGGTCTTCATTACAGAGGTTTGCATGCTTGTTTTTAACAGAGGCACAATCATGTTTGCAGTTCCCATCTGTAATTTGAATGGTAAATTCTGTTCGATTGCCACCACATTTTGTCGCATGTGTAGACTGCAGCTGTATTTACAGACAGCCTGAGTTAACAAATTAGGCAAACAAATACATTTTCCAAGGCAGCCGGTTGGAATAGTGAGCTGGAACATGGGAAATCTAGGTTCAGATGATCCCCATATTGAGCCATAAATCTCATGGCTCAGCTACACACTCTCTCAGCCTGAACTAGCTCACAGCGCTGTGCTAAGGACAAACTAGGGAGAGGGAAAGCTCTATACAGCTCCTTAAGGCCTTTCGGAGGAATGGCAGGATTTTAATGTAGCTAAGTAGTAAATAAATCTTTGAATCAGGCTCAAGTTCCAGAGAGTTCACGGTAGGAATTAACTTCCTAAAAATATACTTAGCCTTGGCCTTTATGGAAAACTGAATAATAACTAGCTTAAAAAAAATAGCCAGTCTAAAACTGAAGGAAGTGAAGAAAGGATTTAAAAGGCTAAAGCAAACAGATTTTAAGAAAAAAGTGAGGGAGGAAAACTTGCTTTGGAAACAGATTTGATGCAAGCCAGTTTGACTGTCATGGCTTTTGCAAGGTCTAAATATCCTGAAGGCACCAAATCCCCTCTGATCTTGGAAGCTAAGCAGGGTCAACCCAGGTTAATACTTGGATGAGAGACCGCCAACAAATACCAGGTGGTGCAGTAGGCTGAATATCAGAGGAAGGAACTGACAAAACTACCCCTATTTCTTGCCTAAGAAACCGCTATGAAATTCATGGGGCTATCCTAAGTTGACAGGCGATTTGAAGGCACATATTGTAATGCCCTAATTCTGGAGATCAGGGTTCAAATCCCTCCATGGCCATGAAACCCACTGGGTGACCTTG